GGACGTCACTCAGGCTGTGCATTACTGGATGAAGACTGCTGGAATGCCCATGTATCTGGAGATCTGGATTGAGGCAGAGCGTATGGGCAGCTATGCAGCTGAAATGGCCAAACTGGTGCACTTTACAACACAGGGCCCTGATGATCAAATCTCAGGGAAACCGGAATTGGTCCTCTACACCCTCAACCTGGAAGAATATGGGTACGCCTTCATTTAAATTCATCCAGTTTTGTCTCCCATACAACCTACTTCAAAGAATCACAATTATTACACCTGCACGTTTATCACTAACTTTGCTGAATTTAAATAGAATGTGCATTTCAAAGCCTCCAGTCTTATTTACTTTGTTAGTATGGCAAGCCACATTAAGCCACCACAAAAATAACTAAACTCAGGAATAAATGCAGCTTTAACCCTCACTAACTCATTGCAATAGTTACAGCCCACTTGTGATATGAACAACATATGTTCTCACATTGACGTGTCTTTCTTGTCCTACCAGCTTTACTGGTATTTTAATAATTTACCTTTGAAAACGTTTAGGTTACTCTTCAACTCCTTTCACTTCAGTCTACTTACACACAGGGGTACATGAAAAGAGATCGTGGCATGCAAGGACACAGGTCCCTAAGCTGTGGCATAGTAGTAATCCAGAACTGTAAACTAATGCACTAGGGACCAAGGTTCAAACCCTACTATGGCAGACGTTTGAATTCAATTTTTTATACAGACACACACACACACACACGCATATATATTTTTTAAAAAAATCAACACAACCATGTAACCACTGTTGATGATCATAAAAACCCACCTGGCTCACTAATATCCTAAAGCACAGTAAATCTGGCCTCCTTACCTGGTCAGGCCTACAGGTGATTCCAGTCCAAATAAAAAATACAATTAACTCGACAGTCATCTGGGAAATGAACGTCTGCCTTTAAAAAAAAAATTATATGGGATGTGGGTGCCAACCGACCAGCATTTATTGCCCATCCAGAGATGCCCTTGAACTGACTGTAATGGCCCAGAGAACCAGAGGGCAACTGACAGTCAACCACACTGATGTGGATCTGGAGTCACATGGAGGGCACACGATGTCTCTGCATTAAGACATAAACTAAGAGACATTAGTGGACTAGTTATGGTTTTTCCAACAATTGGCAGTGATTACAATGGTCACTATTAGGCTAGTTTTTAATTCTAGATTTTTACTGCATTCAAATTTTGAATTTCAGTGGGATTTGAGCTCATCTCCAGAACATTAGCCTGGGTGTCTGGATCGATAGTCCACTGACATTACTACTACACAAGTACCTCCCTACGTGCCAGTGACACCCACTTCTGACGAACAAATAAATTTTAGAATGTCAAAACAAAACATGGAACACATGGAGTCAGATTTTTGCGGATAGAAACTATTTGTTCCCCCCTCATCCTTAGCATTTGAGACTGCAATATTAAAAAAAAGGTCTCTCTTCCTGCCAAAATATATAAAATTCAGTCTTTGGTCAAACAACACCAATATGAGTGTCTTTGGTCAGTTCCTAATTGACAGATACCAGTGAAAAACGTTGTACACAAACTTTAAAGTGATTCTTCCAGACTGTTGGTTAAGTCTGTCCATTGTGTTGTGGAATAACCATTCACACAATTAGACTGGGATAACAGCTAATCTCTGTAGTGCAGCATGGACACATTTCACTGCAATTAGTTGCAACTGAAACAATGAAGGAACACAACACAAATGTTTGGTGACCAGCACCTATCAGCAGCCACTGAGTAAAGAACAAAATCTCTACCTTCCTTCCACATAACCTGAAATTTGGACACAAGAAAGCAGCAGGCAACTAGTTCAGTTATTTCAAACCAATTAAGAGGTCCAAATTACTAAATCTTCCCTCCTGTAGTTTGGGATGTCACTTACAACTTATTTAATTACAGCCTTTTTGATTATTTAAAGCAGCCATTATTCAATATTTAACCTGTGTACTGGGGATTTCTGGGTATTAAAAGGCCACTTCTTCAAATCAAACAACTGGAAATTAGTTTCTCAAAAGGTAGTCACTAACAATTGTACTTTTTAACACCAAGCTATCAAAACAAGTCATTGTAGCTAATTCTGTACAATTTATTTCTGCTTCCTCTTACAGCCAATGCTGATCAATATATTTTTGCTGTTTTAATGTGTAGGAGTATTGGAGATTGTGGTGCAAAACAAAGTGGATCCTGCTGCAGGCAGGAATACTTCATCAACTTCAGGGAGCTGACTTGGACCCAGCATTGGATCATCGAGCCCCCTGGTTACCAGGCCTTCCACTGTGTGGGCAGTTGCAAGCAGCCACAGTGGCCCTTTGACTATGGAGAGAGGAGCTGCGCAGCGGTGGAGAGTGCCTCCCTGCCTGTGATGTACCTGGTGAAGAAAGGGGACTACACAGAGATCGAAGTGGCTGAATTCCCCAACATGATCACTGAGAAGTGTGGCTGCACGATGGACAATGTCACACTAATATAGTAGCATCCCCTATGGCCAGATTTTTTTTTTGGAGAATGCCGTCCTCTTAAAACTCTTAATGCAAAGATGCACAATACAGAAGCACTTTATGTAGATATTATAACTTGAAAATGTATATTTTTACTATTTGATTCTTCCTTTTCTTTGACGGAAGAATTTGATGTCAATAACATTAAACTCAGTTACTAGTCTGTGTCATAGTTCCTTGGAGGTGAAGGGGAATGAAGCAGGAAGGACATGTGAAAATTTGTACTAATACCAGTAAAACCGTCTACTGACCATGTCCTGAGCTCATTCTTGTCTTCTTACGTAGAGTGCAGTGATGGGAGCTTCAGAAACCTAGCCTGGCCTCAGGCATGACAGTTGATGTTACAACATCCAGTAGGAAATGCTGGCATAACAATTTGCAACATATGTGGACAGAAATTCACAGAAGGAAATTCATGACAATAGGACATATGACTTGCAGATATACCCATACAAGATTTTACTATCACAGGGGCAATGAAAGGGGTTAAAAACTTAGCCGACCCTCTGTGTAAGATTTATTACTCCCTGATTTAGGTGGCCCTGCCCCAGTCCAGCTTCTTGTCACAAGGCAGCTGGAGCGTATTCACAGCACCAGCAGCTTAATGCAGTACAGAACAGCACAACCGGTAGGTGCTTTGGATTTTTCACACCAACCCAAAAGACAGAATGATTTACTAAACCAACTCTAGCTGTAACGTGGGGTTGATGGAATATCTAATCAAAGCCACAGAGGGTGGTAGATTGTCTTCCCTGAAGGAAACTACTGAATTGGTTATGATTTTATAATGGTCCACCAGCTTTCTTTTCTCATTTCCTTTCTTGGAGCTAGGCCACACATCACCAGATTCACCGAATTCAATTTAGCAACTTGCCACAGTTAAACATGAACGTTAGGTTTGGGTTTTCAACCAATACCATAACCACAACATTGTTACACTCTCACTTTCGATATGCATCATGTAAATCCTTCATTTCTACTAATAGATGGAATAAAACAATTCAGAAGTATTGGTTTATGACTGCCATCTGGTCATGTCTCCCCATACTGGGATAGTTTTCCACATCTGTAGAATGCAGATAACTGGAGCTCACGGACAAACACCAGTAGATTTGTACAAGACGAACCTGTGTACTTACCCCAAAAAACTAGTTCAACTATCAATCCATTCACCTCAGTTTCTGTTTACCAGAGAACTGCTCGTATATTCAGCTAAGTCCCTGGCACTCAACCCACAAGGCTGTCACAACCTATGTCAACACCCTGCTGAATTTGCTAAGGCCGACAAACATATTCAGAGGTATATTAACAGGGTCTTCCTGTCTGATGAAAAGGCAGCAATTCAAAAATATGAACTTTTTCCTTTCTTCACAGGTACTTCCTGATAAATCAAGCATTTCAAGTATTTACTGATTGTTTTAAGTGTAAATACACCATCTAAGTCATCAATATTCACTTCAGTCACCTAAAATTCAAACTCGTGAGAAATTAATTGAGGCAAACATCGCTGGGCAGTAATGAGGGGCTGAGATAACACAGTGGAGCTGGAGGAACACAGCAGGACAGGCAGCATTAGAGGAGCAGGAAAGCTGACATTTCAGGTCAGGACGCTTCTTCAGAAAGGGGGGGGGGGGGGGGGGGGGGGGGGGGGAAGGGAGTTCTGAAATAAAGAAAGAGAGAGGAGGGGTGGGGCTGGGAAGGTAGGTGGGACGGTGATAGGTGAGTGCAGCTAGGCAGTGGTGGGGATTGGTCAGTTAGGTGGGAGAGAAGACAGGTCAAGGAGGTGGGGATGAGAGGGAGGGTTGGTCATGGCATAAGGTCAGGGATGGGGAGATTTTGAAACTAAAGTCCGTCTTCTCTCCCACCTATCTGCTCCTCCCACCTCACCGACCAATCCCCACCACTGCCTACCTGCACTCACCTATCACCGGCCCACCTACCTGCCCCAGCCCCACCCCTCCTCTCTATAATTTCAGAGCTCCCTTTCCCCTCCCCCATTTCTGCAGAAGGGTCCCGAACTGAAACGTCAGCTTTCCTGCTCCTCTGATGCTGCCTGGCCTGCTGTGTTCCTCCAGCTCCACACTTATCTCTGATTCCAGCATCGGCAGTTCTTACTATCTCTCAGTAATGAGGGGCTGTTGTATTTATGCAAGTGCCTGGCTTCCGCTGCAGGGAGAATGCTCAGACCCTCATGACTCAGCACTCAAATAGACGTCAAAGCTTAGATGGAAACATTTGAAAACATGAAAAGTTCTTCATTCAATTCACAAAAAAACTGATCATTCTTATCTGAGAGAACTGGCTGATGAATGTCGTCATGCCATCGCAAATCAGTAGTGAAGAATTTAAGCCAGCTGTCAGAATAAATTTTTCAAGTTGTGCAAATCCAGTTGTGTAGGAGTGATTTACAATAGTTTTCAAAAGCATGAAAATATTTTCGTCAATCCATTACATTACCATAACACTTATTTTGGAATAACCTCCATTACAAAAATTAAGAAACCATAAAAGAAACCAGGACTTACAACAGCCTTTGGTGCATTCTCATCATCCTGTGTATCAGTTGGGACTTTCTCCACCTCTTCAGAACTCTCTCTGGCACCCTCTTCTGTTACAAGCTTGTTGCTGTCCTGTGAACTCGAAGCAGTTGGTTCCATTTTGCTGCTGACTTCCGGTTCTGTTTGGTTTAGAGTTTCCTGCTGTATCGAAGTCGGCTCAGGCACAGACGAGTCAGCACAGGGGCTAGGATACAAGTCCTTCTCAATGTCAACATTGCCATTCTTTACACTTTCGCACTCCACAGGACTCTTGGAGTGAGATGGAACCTCATCAGAGGAGTCACTGTCTGCTGTGCTCTCCTCATCAGAGCTCCCAGATTCTTCTAAATCCATTGCTCCCATCCTGTAAGAAACAAAACCCATAAATCTTCCTCCGCACACAAAAGGCAAATTTCTGCATGAAGTTTTAACTTGTGGGAGATCAAACCAATAAGACCAGCTTGATAAATTCAGTAAAGTATTTGAGAAACTTCTCTCTCCCAGAGAATGGTTAGGTGGCGGCTTGGTCACACATGGAGCTCTTGTGGCAAATAGCAAAGCTGCATTTAAAGGTAAGCTAGATCGGTCCATTATAGATAAAGGAACAGAATGATATGCTATTAGATTCAAAGAAATTACTTTGAGACACACCAGCATGGACTGGCTAGGCTAGATGACCACTTTTCGTGCTGTGATTTCCAGTGCATTTCATCAAAATCTGTTAAATATGGCTTACTTGCTGATGCAATGTAAAAATATGAGGGAAAAATACCAATTCACTGTTTATAATTTTTCCTCCATTTAATTGCTGGCAAATTGACACTGTTCCATTTGACAAAAAAAAAGCTTTTAATAGGAAGGTGGAACAAGCAATGTTAATGAATGAATAGTATTAACGGTACAAACTGGAAGAAAAAAATGAATACATGCATATAGTAGGAAAACAGTACTTAATTTAGGGTAACTCAATATTACTACAGGTATTTCTTCCATAATGCATGTTTCATTAATGCAAATTAGCTGTAATGCAATTGATGAATAGTGGACACTGTTTGGATAACAGAACTTTCTACAATACAGTACAGAAATTTTCTATAGCAATATCTCTAAAATGCAATTTTCTATAGGACGGGGTTGCACGAGAACGCAACTATCATGTTATAGGAGAACAACCTGTATCAAGCGAGGGTAAAGAAGGTTGGGAGAACTGAAAGCCTTTTTAAAAAAAATAGAGAGAGAATGGAACAAGAAAAGTGGCTGAGCAAGGATCCTGTTCAGCCTTCGCCCTCAGCTGCTGTTATTTCTGAATCTGGGGCATGAGTTCTGACTTCGCAAATTGTTACATCTCATTTCCAGCACAAAGACAAGATATTTGGACACACAGATCCACACTGGCATTCACAGCTCTCACACATGAATAACTCAATCCAATAGTAAATGCCTGCAGATTATTTCACTGTGGGGTGCAGGTGGCATCCTACAGACAACTTCAATCCCAAACTCAGAAGGCATTCACTTCCACCAGTGATCTGACATGAGAAATCCTCACTTCAAATTGGCAACATTACAGACTTAGAATGAAAGCTTTTGTGAGAAGTGATAATGTTGGATAGGTGAAGTGGAGCATGTTATGAATGTGCATATCATTCCTATTCTATCAAACAATATGCATGCTTTCCACATACATTTTGTTCATTGTGAAATTGCCTGATATCACCTCCTCTATCAAACTTTTGCTGCGAGCTAGCGTGCCTATCTTGATCATTTTTTATATGTGAACCTAATGCAACAAATAATTATGACACGGGGATCTTAATCCAATTTGCCTCTGTTGCCCAAAATCTTTACACCTGTGTAAAGATAGGAACGAAGGAGCAAGAATTGGATCAACTTTGCCTCTGCAAATTATGGTATTTCTGCTCCCATCCAGTGAAAAATCAACTGGTCCAACACAACTCCCAGCAAAAAAAAAACTCTTAAATACACTCTCCATCTCTGCAATTTGGTCCAACTGACAACTGATTGCTTAATTACATACAAATCCCAGCACCACACTTTAGGAAGGATACCAAAGCCCTGGAGAAGATATGAAGGAGGTACATCATCAAATTGATGCCAAGAATGAGGGAGTTCAGTTAGGTGAAGATTTGAAAAGCTGGGATGTTCTTAGAGCAGAGAAAATCATGCGGAGACCAGGTTAATGTATTTAAAATTGACTTTGAGAGATCCCCTGGCAAAGGGTTTGGTCATCAAAGGTCATAAATTTAAAATAAAAGAGGTGAAATGAGGATAAATTTCTTCACAGAAGTATTAAAATCTGAAATGTGCAAATATGGAGAATCAGACTGCTTCAGGAACTTCCACGAAGCACGAGGACTAATTTGCAGGATAATAGGGAAAAGTTTACCTGGGGGCTTAATTGATTCTTGAAAAATTTAACATAGGCATGATGTACACATTACCTACCCTCTGCACTTGAAAACAGCATGTTTCTAAAATATTTTAATGGCAGCGCCATTAACTCCAGGAGATCCCTGGTTCAATTCTTGCTCTGTGCTCTTTTAGCTTTTGCATAGGTCAACATAAAACAAAGACAAAATCCAGGCTGAGCTATACTGCTCATTCTCCCCTATCATCCAAAACTGAAAAGACTGCAAAGACACAGAACTACCTGCAAGGATGTGGACAGTGGAGAAAAAAATGCGAAGTAGAAGCAGTAGCAGAAGCCCAGAAAATAAGGGAGAGCAAGACAAAGTTTACTCGTTTACCAGAGACATTTTTTCTTTCCGCCCTTTGCCTCTGTATTTGTGGCAGGGAGTGCACGTTTTCGAACTGCTCCACTCTCTGCTGACACCACATCACTCGATGACGCTTGTAAACCTGGACAGAAACAGGAATACACCAATATCTATACAGAGAAAAAGGATTCTTAGAAAGACAATGCTTTGTAAAATTTGCAGTACAATTGTCCAGTAAATAGCAGATTTGCACTTGCTTCCCTGCCAACAAGGTTTTTTTTTTCACTCAGGGGTATTGCTGGCTGGCCAGCATTTACTGTCTGTCCCCAGCTGCCCTTGAACTAAGTGGCTTGCTGGGCCATTTCAGACGGCATTGGGAGTCAGCCACATTGCTGTGGGTCTGGACAAAATCAGAAGTCACACAACTGCAGGTTATAGTCCAACAGGTTTACTGGCGATCACAAGATTTCAGAATGCTGCTCCTTCATTAGCTGAGTGTGTTTCTGGATTAACAGATGGGTGATAATACTGCTAGATCATTACCTCCTCATACACATTTTATTACTGAATTAGAATCAATTAATGCTTATCTGCAGATCTCTTCAATCCTAATTATGGACTCTCCCAAAATAAACTGAAGGCCTCCTTCATTTTGCAGTATGTTAAATTTAGCTTCCAAAATTATTAGTAAAACTACAGAAATCAAAGTTCTTTTTCCCAATCTGGCAGCTTAGTTTCTTTACTCCATATAAGCACTACCCTCCTTATTGACTGCATAATATTCAGCATCATTCACAACTCCTCAGATACCAAAGCAGACCACGTCCAAATGCAGCAAGACCTGGGCAATATCCAGACTTGGGCTGAATACTGGCAAGTAATATTCACACCATACAAATACTAAGCAACGACCACCTCCAACCTTTGACTCTCAATGGCACTACTATCACTGAATTGCCCCACTATCAACATCCTGGGGTTACCATTGGCCAGAAACTGAACTTTACTAGTCATAAAAATACAGTGGCCAGAAGAGTAAGTCAGAGCCTAGGAATTCTGCAGGGAGTAACTCGCCTCTTGACTCCCCAAAGCTTCTCCATCATCTACAAGGCACAAGTCTGGAGTGCAATGGAGTCTTACCTCGATGAGTGCAGCTCCAACAACACAAGAAACTTGACACCATCCAGGGTTCTGAGGAAGGGTCACTGGATCTGAAATGTTAACTGTCTTCTCTCCACAGATGCTGCCAGACCTGCTGACCTTTTCCAGCAATTTCTGCTTTCGTGCCATCTAGGACAAAGTCGCCCACTTGATTGGCACCATATTCACAAACTCCACCAACGCTCAATAGCAACAGGGTATACCATCTATATGATAGCCGTAGAAATTTACCAAAGCTCCTAAGACAGCACCTTCCAAACACATAACCACCAGCATCTAGAAGGATAAAGACAGCAGGTACATGGCAATGTCACCGTCTGCAAGTATCCTCCAAGCTCTCACCTTTCTGACTTGGAAATATATCGCTGTTCCTTCAGTGTCAAAATCCTGAAATTCCCTCCCTAATGGCATTAGGGGTCTACCTACAGCATATTTACTGCAGCAGCTCACCATCATCGTGCCCATCCCTGTTGCCCTTGAGAAGAAGTGCTGGCCCAGCCAGTGACGCCTACATCCCATGAATGAATAAATAAATTAATTTGTTTCACACCAGCAGTCAGGAGGGAGGGAGGCTCCCATCCACAGATCCCATGCAATCTGTTCAGGTCCTCAGTTGGCCTCAAAACTGGCTGAAGCAGATTCTGATCACTTGTGAAGAACTGCCTTTCCTCCACTATAAAACATTATAAACACACTCCTACTCTCTCAAAGATCCAGAAACCGACTTGGGAGAGTGAATGGCCAAATCATTCCATAAAGCAGTTCTCATAGTACGCAAGGGATCTTGTGGCGCGGTGGTAGTGCCTCTACCTCTGGGCCAGAATGTCCATGTTCAAATCCCACCTGCTGCAGATGTGTCATAATATAATCATCCTGTTAGGAAATGTTAACTACAACTGTGACACTGCTGGGCAGTTTCTGTTGGATATGGTTTCTCAAACCTTTAAGCACTGAATCCTCCAGGCGTTCAGACATTTCATCCAATTGCTGCTCGTACTGTGGGTCAGAGAAATAGTGCTTTGGCTCAGCAAGCTTGCGCTGTAATCGTTCCAATCGCCTCTGTTCTTTCTCTGCTTCCCGATCTGCTTGCTTCTTTATCCATTCAGCCATACTGTACAAAAACAGCAAGTTTAATAGGTTTCAAATTCTCAAACATTACAGTCACAGTAGCAGCTTAGGCTGTCTCTTCTGTCGATTTTTGCATAATGTAGCCCTCTAGCACATCAACAAACAGCCTGTCCCATGAGTAAACGACATTAGAAAATGCTTTACTACTTATTAAGTATTTTTCAGACTGAAGTTATTATAATGATGTAGAAAAAACACAGCCACCAATTGGTATTCAGTAAACTCACAACAGCAATGTGATAATATCTGTTTAACGAGAATTGGTTAAGATTGAGGCACTCAGGAGAATTCCCCTGCTCACCCTGGCATCCTATATCTTTTCCACAAAGGAGTAGACAAGGCCTTCATTTAAAGTCTCGCCTCAAAGATGCAGCTCTCCTTCAGCACTGAACTGGATTGGCAGCCTAGATTCTGCACCAAAGTCTTTGAATTGACAGCTTTCTGGACTCAGGTGATTTGCAGACTAGCCCATTCCAAGGTCCAAGATTACATGCTGAGGGATGCACAAAAGCTTGGGACAGCTGCCGCCATGGCACACTGGGAAAAGATCATGGTCTGAGGTCTTCCTGCTGAAGGTAACTGGGGGTCTGTTCAGTTATCGGACCCTTCTGGTGCCTCAAATGTACGTAAATATAATACTGTATGTGTAAAAGAGGTTTTTGGTTTTTGGTTTTTGGATGGAGTCAAACTCCAAAGCTTGTTTTGTTGACATGTTACTGTACAGAACAGAATTGCATTTGCGACTGTATATATATTTTATGAATACGGTATATTTTTGAAATTTAAAAGTGAAAGTGCTACCAGCTGAGACACAGCTCATACTAACATAGCCTAGTAGCAAATTCTTAAACCTAGTGTACTCTCACATAAAAGGCACAGGCTGGTATGTGTAGAAGCAAGAATTCTGGTTGACTCCCTAATCAGCTAGGAGTGTAGTCAAAAGTAATACCAACATTCCCTTCAAGCTGCATGACCATGCAGCAAGCTGATCTCGCTCTGCAGATTACAAACAGGCCACACAGAAGCAGCATTCATTTTTAAGATGTTTGTATATGCAGCAGCATAATATTAACTGGGTCACACAGTGCAATCAACAGTCAACTAGAACTCCATTCTGATCTCTATGCCGCTTGGTGTGAAACCAGGCCAGTGCCTGGTCTTCAAAAGCACTATGGGGATCACGAGGTAAGCTTCTCAAGTTGCTCTTCATAAATCTTCCTGCCAACGCAGCAAAGGATTGTACGTTCCACCTCAATGTCCAACAGCAAGATGCCAGCTCAAAGTCAGGCCCCTCAACACAGGGACAGGGAAATTAAAACTGACAAGGAAGCCCAACTAACCCAAGCTCATGCATTATTTCTGAAGGTTTTCATAGCTAGATACTGTGTTTCATGACTGAACTAGCCTAAGACTAGACTAGGCAGTGTGATAGCTCCTCCATTGAGCAAGTCGTCAGCTGGAGATCATTCCCAGCGCACTGTTTAGTTACTGAAGGTCAACCTGCCTAACATTGTCATAAATCAAAATGTTCCCAGTCTAATTAAGTGAATTACAGAACATCTTCTTTGGTTTAATACTGTGAGTCTTTTGTAAAATTACACAGTCGTCACCTCCCAGGAGACGACCGTTTGGCCTGTACATCCT